CTACAACCAAGACATCTGACAGATAAAAAGTCCAACCTTGAATATATTCCTTCTTTTTACAGCTACTGTTCCTTTTTCGCAATACAGTGTGTCACATGTCATTACTCTTCTCATCGAACACTGTGGAAAGTTACTAGAAAGATAGGAAGTAAGAGTATAAAGGAATCTGACTCTGGTGAGGTGTTTGTATTCAGCCCACAGAAAACCAATGTAGCTGGATTAAATGTTTAAATAAATATTGAATGTATTCTGTGTTACAAGCTGCCACAGTCTTGCATAAATTATTTAGCTAATAAGGCGATACCAGTAGAAAATGTTGCTTTTTCACTTTTGCCAGGATATGAAGTTTGTTAAAAGTGTTTCTTTGTCCCGTGGTTGATGTTTTTCTTCCATTGTTTTGCCTGAAGAATTGATTTGTTGTGGGGATGTTGCTCTGTGTCAGTTTTCCTGCCATGACCAGCCTTTCTTAACATTATTATCTTCAGAATCTTGTGAAACAACACTGCACTGATGTCGTCCTTCCAGAGATTGATGTTAATCTGGGTTTGTTTTGGGCTCAACATTGGTCTTGTGCTGACACAAATCGGCTTGTTGTGTTGTCCTTGAGTCAAGAGCAGAAACTGCTATTATGTGATACAGAGGGGAACAGGGCAGAAGAGTGAACAGTGTAGGGCAAGAAAAGGAAAAAAACACACACACACACAGTGTGGCTTGACTTGAGTTGCAGGCCCGGTTCCATTTTAAAGCTGGGTATGTTCTAAACTAGGGTATGTTTTGAGTTGTAACAGGGGAAAGCACTGACACTCTAACCTCGTTTGGCTGGAAGGCTCAGCTCACCAAACCACAAGCCAAACAAAACACAGCTACATAGTTGCTGCAAGAAAGATTGGTAGCATGTCTTCTTTTCTTGGTACTAGCCCATTCTAAACCTGGATGTTTGGAATGGGCTGTCTGCTTGGCCTGTGGGATTTTTTTCTTAGCAGCTTTCTTTCCAAAACTGCAACATTGGCCTGCAGTAATTGAGCAGAGGAATGTAAAGTCCGGCTGCTGGATTCAGTCCACAGAACCCTGAAGTTGCAACACTTGCTCTACAAAGAGCCGGTCACCTGTTATTTCAAAGTTCAGCGAAGCTTTACTCAGCAGAGTCATAGTTGTTGGGAATATGCTGTTGTTGTGATCAGCAACGTCACTTACTTTGATGAGTCCCTGTAGCAGCTGCTTCAGAATGCATGGTTTCCTTTTTATTCATAGTTTATTAATATTGAACGCATTGTGTGTCCAAATTCAACACTGCAATTCCTTGGATACTTAACAATACACATAGTGTTAAGCCAATGTGATAAAAGGTTCTCGAGATATATATGTTCCACATACAGACGGAGATCTCTGGAATTTATCAGTTAATGTCAAAAAGTGAACTAAATCAAGGTGATCTGTAAGCCACAAGGTAACTGAGTTATACACGAGACACACGTCTTTGAACATAACAGAAAATGAACATGTGAAGCTTCATGATAATTCCATTACCACTGTTGTGGTCCAGTCCAGGTGTCCAAGAAGTTTAATTTACTTGTGTGTTTGCTTAGGGTGCCAACGTCAGATTTAAATTTAGCAACTAACAGAGATGTTGTGCCAAATGAAATGCTGTCTCTACCAGTTGACCACCATATTTTGATAGACTTTTCTCAATGTCCTGTGGATCTGAGTTCTTTCTAAATAACACAAAAACAACATGCACATCCAGTAAAAATGGTTGACAACACCTGCATGTGCAGCCAAGACTCCTCCATCCAGTTGCACTATTATTTGTCCAGTGGTATATATAAATATAAAGTATAGTGCATGGAGATTAGATGTATTGTATTCTTGCTCTGCACCAATAAAACCCCAAATAAAATGTGTAATGAAACGTTTTCTGTGTCTGCAGGTTAATCCTAGAGAGAGAAGGGCCCCGTTCACTCTTCAGAGGACTGGGACCCAACCTTGTAGGTGTGGCACCTTCCAGGTATGTACTCTTATCTTCAGTATTCTCAGTGTGTTCTGCTGTGTGTCTTCTCCTGCCGACTTTAGACTTTATGCCCAGGTTTTTAAGCAGTTCCACAAATATGCACATAAAAAGCCCCGGACATGGTGGCACTGTGGCTGGGCTGCGTGCCCTCTCCCTCGGGCTGTGGAGCTGTCTGTGGAGCTGTCTGTGGAGCTGTCTGTGGAGCTGTCTGTGGAGCTGTCTGTGGAGCTGTCTGTGGTCCCTGCATCAGTAGTCAAATGTTGTTGCAATGGAAATAATGCATTTCATTTTTTTTTCTCATCGTCCACATAGACCACTTACTGTATGGGGTCTATGTTAGCAGCGAACCCAAAGCAGAAAGACTGTAACACTGTATACTTAAGCATTTGTTATCGCAAGTCATATCATCATCGCAACATTCAACAACGTTATCGCATATTGCATGTTTTCCCAATATCATGCAGCCCTAGTATCTAGATCTTATCTTTTTACAAACCTCCGGTTCACTTGGAGCTTATGTTGACTGCAATAATAGTACGTCACAAATACACAAATACACAAATATATGGCGAATAACTGACAGAAATACTATGAAAATCTCTGTTTCAATTCCCAGTGGAAGTGAGCAGGTTCTCCCCTTCATAGCTTAGCTGGTTGCGTAACAGCCTGGAGTCTGGATGGAGTCCCACAGTCTGAATGAAACAGTAGCAGCAGCAGCAGGCGTCGGACAGCTGTGACACTTGCATCATGTGACTATTGTTGTTGTTGTGTATCATCACAGCAGGGTTCTTCATTTAGGAGTTGTGCTGGTGTCTAATCCCCCTCCTGGAGCTGTGTAGTTCTCCCTAGCTACTGCTGCATCACATGGCCATTATCATCCTCTTCCCGTTGGTTCGTTGCAGCCTCTGTATCTGAGTCATCCTTTGCATACTCATATTCTCCATCTCTCATGTGATTGTCATGAGGAATTTCACTGCTGTCGGGCACTGTCTCATGCAGAATCTCTGTGGGGATTTGTGTGTGTATGTTCACCCTGTGGGATAGTTGTCCAGCTGTGGAAGTATTGGCTTGTTTTCTGGTCACGACATCTATAGCCAGCTGTGATATAGGAAGACACGTTAAATAGAATTTACAATACATTTTGATGGGTTTGTTCATTTTGAAATTGATTTGCTTGTGGTGGTACAGCCTTGTGTTCCGAGTATAGTACAAGCATAAAAAGGATATACGCTCACATTCAGATACACTTGTGCACATCATTTGACATCTGAAAACCAAATGGAAATGTCTCAGGCGGACAGGAAACTCCTCTAAAGATTTTTGATTGGAGAGTCATGAGCAACACTTGAAACATATTATTCTTCATTTCAGGCTTCAGCTGAGGGCAATAAAATCCAAGTGATTCCTCAATAAAGATACAAGTTTAATATGGGTCGTTGAGCAACATGATGACATCAATGTCTGCTCAGTTCATTACACTGTATTTCCTGCAGAAGACTCCACTTTTAAAGATGTATGGCAAACCAAGAAGCAACATTTCCACTTCGTTGAATCACAGTAATTTAGGTAAATGCTGAACTTCAGATGAAATATAACTGAAAGGAGTAACAGATTTATTACTTTATTAACGTGTAAGTGAAGTTCTGGGTTGCTGGGCTGCAGAGTTATTCTCTCCTGTTATAATTAGGAAACAGCACTCAGACGCTAGAGTGCTAAAGACATCTGATGCTAACGAGAGCACACTCCACTGGGCATGCTGCTGGCGTTCATTAGCAACACGTATATACTGTATGAGATGACTTGCACCAGCAGCGACGCTCATTATGTATGGAAGACACCCAGCCAATCACATGATTCATGCACAGAGCAGCACGATTATGTTGTGCATGTAAGCTCTTGATTAAGAATGAGGCAGAGGAGTAGAGGGCACTGGGTTTAAATCCACGCAGAAGCAATGACTAAATCCTGTGACTTTATTTAGTGAGGGACAGATAGAATCATGGGAGATAAATCTGCTATTAAAGAATGCCACAGGACTGAGATATACAGACACACAAAAGCAGTAATGCGGATATTGAAAAGTGGCTGATTATACGGCAGTAGTGGTTCAGTGGTATATTCTGATTACTTCAGTAGGACGTGCTGATCTCTAGTGGTATGGTCCTCATGTTGCACCAGCACATACTGCTTCATTGCGTCATTTGCAATTAGATAGTAGTAGACCATAGTCAGACTGGGAAATTCACAGTTTCTGTTGTGTGGTCTGATGCTGGAATTTGTGGCTCAGCAATAATGTGGCAATATTAATAATGCTAATACTACTTTAGGGGACATTGGCAAGAATATCAGAATCAGAACATGAAATTAGTGTTGTTTCAAAATAATCGCACACATCCCAGCATCAGAACACACAAGAAAAACATTTATGAGGCTATGTTGCACTAAGAATTACACATTAACAGCAGTAGGTGTCAGAGGACAAGCCCACTGGCATTACATTTGTATATGCATTCAGAGGCAGTTACAGCAGAGGCAGTTATAGTCTGGCTGCGGCTAACTGTGACATGGTACATGTTGGTGTAACATGCAGACCTCTAGAAATTGAGATCCCATCAGCTACTTTGAAAATCAGCATCACTGCACACAGGCAGTGAGAGAGAAACTCTTTCCATGACTCACTTTTATATGGCAGATTACATTACATAACATGTCATATTGCCACATGTGGCATATTAGCTGGCTAATTACTTCTATTGCATGCCCTCATGCAGTACATAGACTGTATTTAGTTTCAAGTAATGTCCAGATAAATCAATGCGATTCTTTCAATGAACCATACACTTACACAGTTAGTTAGTTTGTATTTACATAGTTAATGCTTCCAGCTAATCATTTTTTAATGTGCAATTCACACTGAAGGATCTAATGAGGACAAGTAGTGTTTTCTTCCAGGGTTTCATTACTGGGTAGCAGTAGTTGACCTAAGTCAGCTTATCAAGTGTTTTTAAATATTCTCACTATTCTCTCTCTCTCGTTTTAATCATGGTGTTATTTCCCACAGGGCGATCTACTTTGCGGCCTATTCAACAGCCAAGGAGAAGCTGAATGGGGTGCTGGAGCCAGACTCTACCCAGGTGCACATGGTGTCCGCTGGGTTGGCAGGTAATGATGGCTCCCTCTCCCCCGCCCTCTTGTCTGTTTGTCTCTCTGTTAGAATCTGTCTGTCAGTGTGCCTGGGTAGTGTTAGTCATTATTGTTTTTTATTAAAAAAACACTTTTTTTGAATTTTCAGTTTGTCTTCACGAGATACATTTGGTTTATTTTTATTTTCTCATCATTTTTAAACATCCCTATAGTCTCTCCTCATTGAATCCCTTTACCCCTCCTTTCCATATACATGTGTGGGATGGTGGGATCTTTACAAATTGAAAAGCTAAAAGTCAATACCTAAAGCATGCAGAAGCTAACTTTCAGTATCTGTTATAACTAGGCATTACGTTGCTCTTTTATGCATAGAAATATTAAATATAGACAATACTGGGTTTAACAGAAAGCACAATTTAAGACTCTTAGGATCAAATTGACCTTTACCTTGGCTATAGCGAAATTTGCCACAAAAAAATAAATGTATCGATGTTTCAAACACTGTATTTTATACAGTCAAATGATTTCACGTGATAATCTCATACATGGCTATTAAGAAAAACACGCAATCATCCTTGAAATCATCACATAGCAAATAGCACATACCACTTATTCTCCTATGCTTTTTCTTACCCCCCCCTCTAAATACACCCCCCCACCCAGTATCTTGTCTCTTCATGGTGTCTCTGCAGCTCACACATGTTTGAGGAGACAGAACCTTTATATCAGCACTTAAACCAGGTGAAACACAGCAGCTAAGCAATTGAGAGCGATAATATGTCACTGATGACATTTACCTAGTCTGTGCTGTATGTACAGTTTTTCTATCTGCTTGACAAAAAGAAGAAAACCACGTGGTCCTCAAAGCTTAGGTTGTGCTTTCCTCCTCTCCTTTCCTCTCCCCCCGTCTTACATTATTATTTCCTTATCCTCCTCTCCCTTCTTTCCTATATATATTTTTTCTTTCATTTTGAGGCCTCTCCAGAGGACTCTGTAAATGGTTTAACATCCCAGTTGTTACTTAAACAGTGTGGTCTGGGCCCCCTTCTTTGCTCTGTGTGTATAGAGGAGAGAGCACTGTCCCCAAAGGTCAACCGGGGCCCCTGGCACTTGGGCGGACACGTCAGGTAGCACCCCATTTCTTTACACTGGTATGATGAAAACCATGGTGATTTTTTTTTATGAATATTAGAAAGTTCATGATGGTTATTCATTTGTAATGATAATACCATTGCTTGTGGCAGTGTGTTTGCTGCTGGTTTGTAGTTTTAGGTTCTTCTGATACAGATTTCTTATTTCTTAGTCTTGACAAACTCCTCCCCCCTTTCCCTCAGCCTATTGTCTCAGCAAAGTAACGGTAAAATAATGACAAATAATTCGATTTTATGTTGTCAGCCTAAAAGAAATGCTAACCTTGTCACTGCTACAGAAGGTTGTCATCACTCTGTCATCATTTACCAACACCATTAGTGTCTCGTCTGGGTTTCTCTTAAGGGGAATTAGATTTGTTACATCATCCAAAAGCCTTTTATGACTTTCAATGTCTTTTCAAACAAGTTGAGTATCCTGAAGATTTTGCAATGATTTTCCCATCAGCAGTTCTTCTATCAGTTTAAAAAAACACAAATGTAGAGAAATTATTAAAGTGCAGATACATAATTCAACTGATGGAAACTTAAGACATTGTATCACAAACGAGGAGGGATTTTTAAAATACATTATGCTTCAAGAATAGTTTGCACACACATCTTCATTAGCATAACAGTGACTCCCACGGGCAAGGATACTGTATATTATACCTTAGCCCATAAGCCACAATTGGCAGACAACTGTCCTCTGGTGTCTTGTGTCATTGAGCTACACAACTGCCCCTTTGTATTTCATATATGCACATTTTCCACACAGACTCTCCTGGAGCTGTTCAGCTTTGGGAAGAAGCATAACTAAAGAAAACGTTTTGGTCTGAATAGCTACATTTAACCCAGATACTTCATATCTTTTCCATAGTTTTGTGTCTTAACTTTGAGAAGTTACTGCCTTTCTGCTTTGAATGGCTGGCTTTATTTTTAGTCTGGGAAGGGGAGGCTTGCCTGGCCTCTACTCCGACATATCTTCCCCCCCCGAATGTAATCTAAAGCATATTTGCCTTGAATGTAGGTCAAACTCCCCTGGAGACATTACAGGCCTTATGTTCCATTGAAGGATCACCATGCAGAACATGCAGCAGCACGTCCACTGAGGTTAATTGTGCTGTATCGACTGCACATATATACAGTGTGTATACACTAATGCCTTATAGAAATCACTAAGCAGAAAAGCAAGTGCGTTTCACTTCCAATAAAACAAATAATTGGTAGTTGTGCTGTGTCATTGAAGTTTTTGACCGACTCTTTAGTTTTTCAAATGGTCACATATCTCCAGTGCACACATCAGTTAGGGTCTTTGTTAAGGCACC